TCGATCTGAGGCACAACATATATATAAAATAAAAAGTTATAATAAATATTCAAATAGAGAAAAAAATATAATAAGAAAAGTTAAGATTTTACTATATAAAAATTCTGATACTATTTTTGTAGGTTAATTTCTTATCCAATTTTAATGATCAACCGCATATCTAACTCATATAATTTATGGCCAGAATGTAGATCAATTTGGCTGCAAAATTATGTGATGATCTGGTCAAAATTAAACGGACAAATTTGCCCGCAATATAGTTTAAGGGATAATACCACTTACCATTTCAAAAAAAAATAAATTCCTTCTAAAAAAAACCAATTCTAAACCAATTTCTGACAGGTTTTGACATTGAGAAATCAAGTTTTGCAAATGTGCAAAGTCTTTGACAATTGGCTTAAAAGTGAAATCAAAATATACGTCATCATGTATTATTTGATATTATCACTATTTTCACTATTTTTGTATATTGACATGTCGATCAAATTCACATTTATCACTTTTATTTATTAGTGATGTAAGCCAAATCAGCTCATAAGATTATTATTTATAGTTAATATATATATTTCTGATTTGTATATTTAAATTTTATCAATTTTTTATAATACTAATTAAAAAATATTAAATATTACCAAAAATTGGTAAAATTATTAATCATTAGTTAAAATAAAGAATTAGTTTATCAGGCTAGTTAATTATAATTTAATAATTTTTTTTAACTTTTAACAGAAGCTTTAAAAAAATTTATTCTTTTTTTTTTAAAAAAAAATATCAGTTTTTTGAATTGATAAGTTTGAAAATTTTATTTTAAAACTTTATTTTAATTTTTTGATTATTTTTTTTACTTTGAATTGGTAAGTTTTAAAAGTTTTATTTTTTTAAAACTTTTTTTTATCTTTTTAATATTTTTTTATAAAATTGCTACATATTGTCAAAAATAATCATTGCTAATATTACATAATTTTTAATTATATATTTTGTTATTTTATGTTATATTCTTCTTATTTCATTTTACTATATATTCTAAAGACAGAATTTTTTTAATATAAGAAATCCTATTTATCATCCTTATTTGTTATTTCCTATAATTCTAGTCAATTTTATAATTTTTGCCAAATTTTTCTTATTGAGAACTTGAATAGTATTATATAATCAAAAAAGGCAATTTTGTTTCTCATAAAAAATATTACACAACATTTTAAAAAAGACAATTTTTATATAAATTACTTAATTTTAACCAAAATTTAAAAATCATATGATACTAAGTAATAATCACCACTGGTGATAAATAGTACATTCCTTTTTCTTATTTATTTTTTTTTTTTATTGAATTAGTTAATTTTAAGTTTTGAACTTAAACTTTCAAACCTATTTTTTTTAAAAAACTAATTTTTTCTAATATTTTTTTTTTTTAAAATATTGGGCCAGAAATAACGTAATTTAAATTTTAGGATTTTTGATCCCCCTCCCCTCCCTATGTCATTATTCATTTTAGGAAATGTAAAATTAAAAAATAATTCTAGCTAGAATTATATTAACTACAAGTGTCTAAAAATAGAAAGTATGTAACATCATCATGGTCTTAAGTCTTAACCCCCTCCTTTCTTTAGGAAATGATATCATTTCTGGCCATCCCCTTAAATACTTTAAATTAATATAAAATTTCAAAAATTTTACATTTATTTAAAACTTTATTTTTTTATTTTTTTTTATTTTTTTTTAGATACTAATTTTAATCCTTTACTTTAATTAATAAGTTTTGAAGCTTAATTTTTCTTTTAAAAAAAAACTTGTTTTAATTTTTATTTATTTATTTATTTTTTTAAATATCAATTCTTTTTTTATAATTTGAATTAATAACTAAAGTTTTTGAAAACTTTAAAACAAAAAAAATTTGATATATTTTTTTTTAAAATATTAGCTTTTTCTTTAAGTATTAATAAATTGGACTAATCAATAAATTTTACTTTAAAATTTTTTTTTCAAAAAAAAAAATGTATTTTTTTAAAAAGATCAGTTTAATTTTAATTTTCTTTTTTAAATATCAGTCTTTTTCTTCAAATTTGAATTGGTAAGTTTCAATTTGAAGCTTACCATTTTTTTTAAAAAAAAAAATTTCTTTTTTGTAAATATTCAAATTTTTTGGCATTAGACTTTAGATAAATATTGACCTTTCAGTTAGATTTTTCAATATTAAACAATACTTAAACTTTTTTTTTATAGGTTAGCATTTTGGAATAGTTTTTTTTAAAATAGTAAGAGTTTTTTTGGTAAATATAATTTAAGATTACTTGCTAAAACTAAAAAGTTTGGCAGAATGGCATATATGAAACTGCTAGAATTACATCCACCTGCCAAAAGTATCTGGGCACTTCTAAAAAATGACCATTAAATCACATTATTTCGACACTCAGTGATCAGAATTTAATGATTTATGATTCATTGGATTTGTTTAATTGAAACGTATCTAACCGCAGTATTTTCAAGTCTGTAAGTTCAATAGATCAGAAGTTATCATTAAATGTCTAAAAACAGTAAAATGCAAATAACTTTTTATCCATCAATCCTAGAGACATGAAAATAATAGATACAATGTACCTTAACAAGACAAATCTAATGAGTCATATTTCATCTTACTAGGTTTAATAGGGAAGAAAACGTTATGAAATTTGTATTTGCTAAATTTTTAAAGACGAAAAATGAATTACTTCATAAAGTTAAATCACATTATTTCAATAACCAGTGATCAGAATTTAATTATTTATGATTCAATGAATTCATATTATCAAGATGCATCAAATTGCAGTATTTTTCTGTCTCTAAATTTGATGGATCAGATGTTATTCTCAACAGTAAAATGCAAATAATTTATTTTTCATCTTTAAAAATTTAGCAAATACAAATTTCATAACGTTTTCTTCCCTATTAAACTTAGTAAGATGAAATATGACTCATTAGATTTGTCTTGTTAAGGTACATTCTATCTATTATTTTCATGTCTCTAGGATTGATGGATCAAAAGTTATTTGCATTTTACTGCTTTTAGACATTTAACGATAACTTCTGATCTATTAAACTTACAGACTTGAAAATACTGCGGTTAGATGCGTCTCAATTAGACGAATCTAATGAATCATAAATCATTGAATTCTGATTACTGAATGTCGAAATAATGTGATTTAATGGTCATTTTTTAGAAGTGCCCAGATACTTTTGGCAGGTGGTGTAGTTTTGCAAAATCGCTTAAAGTACTAAAATACTGAAATTGCTAAAATATATAAAACTGTTTTAACATATAGTTTCAGTATTTTTATAATTTAAATATGCAAATTATCTATTATAAAAAAAAAAAGCTAAGCAAGACAATATATAAACCAATTTATTAGAGAGGGAAATGGGGTATTTTGGAAAGTATATAATAACAAAAAAATATATAAATATAACATAACCTTTTTTTTTTTTTTGTTTAGAGAGTGGTAGAAGCATATATTAAAATCTTATAATATGGTGATCCTATATAATTCAATGGTAACTATAAAAGGATATATAAGGAGGACTTTGCCTAATATTAAAATATGCTACCGGTAGAAATTCCACTTTTATATGAAACTTTACTTTAGGATTTACTTAAATTCTATTGGTTAATTAACTAAAAAGGAAAAAAATTATAACAATGTAACATAAAATTTCCTTTTATAGTAGGATCTTTAAAGAGTTTTATATGTAAACTTTACCTTAGACTACAGGGTGATCTATCTTAATAGTAGACGGAGTCTTATATAAAGTGATGGTAGGGCACAGGAGCAATTTTATGGATGGGAAACTGATTTGGAGTTTTAATAAATTAGTTATTCAACAGGTGCTTTTGTATTCTTATATATAATTAATAAACTCACAAATTGCACTATCTTGCAAAAAAAAAAAGCTAAAGAACTAACTTTTTTTTTAATGAAAACTTTCTCTTTTATTTTATTTTTTTTATTTTTTTTTATTTTTTTTTTTTTTTTTCCTTTTCTTTTTTTTTTTTTTTCCTTTTTTTTTGTTTTTTTTTTTTCTTCAATCTTTTTTTTCACTTCAATTATTTTTATCAAGTTATATTTTTATTTATTTTATTTATTTTTTATTTTTAAGAGAAATATTTTAATACTTTTCTTTTTCTTTTTTAAATTACCAGATAAATTATATGAGCTGAACTTTTAAATTTAGATAAAAGAAATTACTAAAAGTGAATTTTTTTATTATATTTTTTAAAAAAATATTATCACTCAGTGGTCATGTCACATGATATATTGATCATTAATTAAAAAATTGTACCGCAAAAATGATCTGCACAAAGTCACAAATGTTTCGAAGTTTTCTCTTAAGTAAAGCCTTTTCAGACCTTAGTAAACTTTTATTCTTCAGGTTCTTACCTACTTGTTTCAACCTTTTATTTAACAAAATAACGCTTATTTGAGAAGTTTATATTAGGCTAACTTTTCCTACTTTTTTGACTTTAACCCCAGATGCAAATTTGTATAAAAACTAAATATTATTTAAAGTACTCAAATATATGTAAAGTTTTACAGGAAATCGAAATGCTTAGTGAGTAAAAGGTTGGTTTGATAATAAAATTTTTATTAAATCCATGATTTTTGTTTTTTTCTGTAGTTTGTCTATATTAACATTGCAAAAATTACATGTATAAATTTAATTTTAACAGTATAAAAAAAATATTTGACATATATTACATACTGTAATCAAATAATAAATAAATATTTTTCAAATTTAAAAATCTTTTATATATTAAATAAAATGTAAAAGTCATCATTAATAAAAATTTTTCAATATATATCCAATTTCAATAAAAATTGACTCACAAAGACTTTAAAATATTTTGAATTTATGTGCAAAATTTCAGTATATATTATTATGTGGGATGGAGTAAAAATTTACTGTTACACAAATTTCATAGCTGTACAATTTACACTTCATATTACTCCTTCAAAATGATCTATTTTTCAGATAGCTGTTGCTTGTAATGCCGTATTAAACTGTTGAGCTTGATTTTTATTAAGTTTCTTATGAGAGAAAAAAGTATCTTGCGAAAATTTATCAGGAAAAAGCATTTTTCTGATCATCTCAGATCTTTTCCTACCACAAAAATAAGCAGGAGAATTGGTAGCATATTCTGTAAATAAGCCACCAAATAAACTAGTGCAAAGCAAAGGCTCATATAATTCAACTTCAGGTTCTTCTTCCATATCCTAATTTTGGTCAAAAAAGACAAATAAACTTGGCTGATTATTATCAGTACCAAGAATACAATTTTTGCTTTTAATATGTCTTTCAAAGTTTATTGTTCTGAAAGGACGGTCTAGTTGAACTTCAACTCCACATTTATATCAGACGGTTTTATTATCTATCATTTTATCAAAGTTTGTGAAAGCTCTAAAATGAGAAATACAAACATCAGCATTTGGTTTTTGAACGCGAGTTGGTGGCATTGTAAAGAACAAAAGAGTGGAAAGGGAAGACTACAAAAATTCAATTTTTACGCGTTGTGTACATAGATAAAATTTTTATCCAATCGTAATTAATATATAGGTATTACAGGTATTACATGTTATAATTGTCATATATTTGCGAACCATACTATATATAGTAACCTATTCACATATTAACATTTGCGAACCATCTAAAGCAGTAACATAAATTATCACGAACTGCAAAATACTATGACTTTCACAATACTATATGGTGGCAAACCATGCATTTCCAGTAACATTTTTTAAAAATCTATAAGCTTCCAAACCAGCTTTGGCGGTAACCCCTATTAAAAGTTTTCCAGGTCCTGTTGCTACTGCACGTTCTATTATTCACAAAAATTATCCATTAATTATTAATTTTCGTTGTATTACTCATTGTTTTAACACAGGTCGAAAGATGCCAAATTAGTCACCAACCAGTCAACAATTGGATACCCGATTGATGCCTAGTTGGTGACTGATTTTTTCAATTTGATACCAATCAGGCTGCCCAATTGATAGTTGATTTCCGCCAAAATCTGACAACAACCAGCTATCATCTGGGCTGCCTGATTGGTGTCAAATTGAGAGTCAATTGATGGTTGAACGATGGTCAATTAATGGTTAATTAATGGTCAATTGATAACTGATTGATGACTTATTGGATTTGCTTAATCTGACAGCAATCAGACAGTATCTGATTAATGACCGATTGGTAGCGTATTGATGACTGATTGATAATGTATTGATGACTGATTAATAGCTGATTTGTAATAGCCGATTGGTAAATGGACCAATAATTGGTTTTATAAAATGTTTATGATGCACCTATTTTATTTATTATATATTTATTTATGCATTATTAATTACAAATTATTAAGAACAATGGTTTTAATTCCAGCCTACATGCGCTTTATTCATATCAGCTTATTATCGGAATTGGACCAAAATTAAGGCCCCAAATTACTATTAAAATTGCATGTGACTATCGTAAATGTTACACAACAATCATATGTCAAGCGTTAGACTCTCTCACCGAAAAACCCTAAAAAAAAAAAATTTAATAGTAACTATCGCGTCAAACCAATCTCCTCCCTACGAAACCAATCTCCTTCAAAGGTAAATTATGTTGAGTGTACTATTCTATTTCTATATACAAAAAAATATTTTTTAATTTTATTTAAACTACATTTAGTAATTCAAAAGTAGTTTGCTTGTAAAATTTTTGTTATTTGTAAATTTCGCGTATTAATTTGAATAAAGTTTACAACAGTGTTTAATATTTTTAATTAATAAAGTGTTTTTTTTTATATTTTAGGTATGGTAATATGAATCAAGCTGTAGTTTCTACCGGTGCTCTTCCACCTTCAACAACAACTCAAATAACAACTCCAACAACTAATGATTCAAAATTTGAATGTAATATATGCGGGAAACTGTTTAACAAAAGGGGGGATTGACTAGACATTTAAATACTATTATAAAATACAACTCTTTACGTCCAGATATTGATGCTTTACCTGATAATACCGTACACCAATTTAAAGCCATCTTAGTTCACTATATTCGCAAAAGATTACCAAAAGGATATAGGCAATTAGGAAAACAAACAGTTTCTATTCCCGCTACTGAAAGTCAGTTTTATGCAGTATTTAAAAACTATATACATTACTACTCTGCTACAAAGGGTATTTACAAGTGTATATTTCGTGGAGGTTCATCAAATCAAATATTAGCAAATATTCTAGAGATGGAAGGTTGGGAGACTAAATTTTACGATCAACGGCAATGTACTTATGTTGTACTTTGTGATGATGACAATAATATTGAAGATGGGGACGAAAATCCTATTACAGCTGCATTAACTTATGAAACAATTAAAAAATTACGCAAACCAAAATGCGTACGTGGTCAATTAGTAGTAGAATGGAAAAAACAAAAAAATACTGATTTTAATGGTAATTTCACTCACGCAGGTCACATTTATTTTCATTTTTACAATAGCCAGGCTATGATTGAATAAAATAGATTATTTGAACACGAAAAAAACAGTATCAAAGTATATTAAGCATTTTCATTCTAATTATTTTCAGCTTTAATATGAATTTTATGAGGTTTTTGAGAGTTTAAGGAAACATTATGGTAATTGTAAAAAAGAGATCGATTTTCATGTTCTAAGATCTCAATAATTGCTGATGACTTGGATTTTCTACCTCCATCTTTCATTGTTTTACGAAAAAAATAAGAAACTTGCTGATGATTTTTTTTTTCCACTGCACTACATGAAAATGACTTTAATCCCCATTTTTGATGAATTGTCATAAATTCAGAAACGTGATGGACTAACACATGAATGTAAGGTGTCATATCATTAGGTTTATAAAGACCTTTTTTGAATCCTTGAGTATTTGGAATACCTTCAGATGGCGTTAAGAATAAAGTAAGCCAATTCTTTGCATCATTTTGAAATTCTTCAGCATTTGTTTTTTGGTCCTTCATTTTTATGTAGAGTTCATAAAATTTATTCCATAGATTTCGTATCATATTAGCGCGTTGTCTTGAAAGAATTTTTGATAAATCAAAGAATTGTAATACTTTGATCTTATCATTTCCCATTAATGATGTGTAGCTCCAAGTTTTAGATTCTTGAATTTGCCAGAATTGAAACTTAACTTTAATTCTTTTCATTTCCTCTACAATTATCTTTCGTGCAGTATCATTAAACAAACCATATTCTGTTAATTCTGCTATCACAAGACTCCATAAACGATCAGTAATTCTAAGCATAATGTGCAATTCATCAGGAACCCAGTGATTAAGAGGTATCATATCAAAAAGTGGTTTTCTTATATGTCCTTTATAGTAATTATTTTGTTCAACTAACTTATCTATTTCTTTATTAATCTTCCATTCTTTTGATAGATCTCCTTGTTGTGATTTATCAATTGTACACCAAGGGCAGAAATTTTTACTATGAGCGCTATTAAAACCCAAACAGATTGCTAAGAACTTCCAGTCAGACGAAAAATAAAATTGAAAATTCCACTTTACATTATCAATTACCAGTCCTTCTTTTAAATTTCTTAGATCATGGCAGAATTGGGTCATTGCATTTGATAGAGAGTTGTAATCTTCACATCCAGGATAGAGTATGGTCGTATAATGATGATCTGGTTTGTGTGAAGTATTTTTATCATCTAAAATAGCCACTGTGATGATTACATGTTTTACTTTCCTTCCTACGTTTCGCCCATCTCCAGAGATTCGAAGATTAATTATGGGCTGATCTGGATTCAAGATGCCTTTTTGAACAAGGTTAGGAACCAAATAATACAATATATTATTAATATTTCTATAGCCACCTTTACCAACTGCATTAATTACTTCTTGTGTTATAGATTCATCATCTATATCTACTCCTTCGGATTCATCCACTTGACTTTTAGTATTTATATCTACTATTGTTATTGGTATGAGCTGGACCATTATTTCATTTATATTTATACGTTCTTTAGATATTTCTCCTTCACGTGATAGGTTATATTCTATAGCACATAGACGTCTATAAGAATCTCTTGGAATATTGCCTTCATCTAATGCTCTAACTATTGATTCAAGTTTTTGTTTTTTTTTAGTTTTATCTTCATTCTCGTAACTGATATTAAAAGTATGTTTTTTATTAACAGAATAACATATACTTTCCAATGCTGGTACGTCTTCCAAATTATATAGCTTCTGTGTTTTTTCGTTGAATTCAGCTAATATATGTTTTCCAATACTCATAGCACGTTTTGTAAGGGTGGAATTTCCACATTGGTCAATTGGTTTTAATATATGTGCACGTCGCTTGCCTTCTCTTGCCATTTCTAATGTTTTGAGATGAAGACCAAACAAATAAATTCCTGATGTTTTTGTTTTTTTTAAAGATGTATATTCCTGAAATAAATATTTTAAAGTTAATTTATAAATAGAAAAAAATAGAAAAACTAAAAAAAAATAATTTAGTGTACAAACTTTATGAAATAAATTTGTAACATCCGTCGCACTTCTAACTGAAGATACTACATGTTCAAAACACTTTCCAAACCAGATTTGAAAAACTGGTTTATTATCAATGTAATTAATAAAACACTGAACAACACATCGATTATTACTTCTACCCCAAGTTGTTTCTACCATATAATCATCAGGGATTCGATATTTATTAGGAGGAAGAGTGTACGCTAATAAAGATTTATTAGGATACGTTCCTTCTTTTATAATTTTATATGAAAAACTATGTCCTGATTTTTTAAAATTAATAATTGAGTCAAAGGGGTAATTATGAATTTCTTGTGTGTCAGACATTTGCAAATTAGAAGCTAGGAATAATTTTTTAAACCGCGTAATTATTTTACAAAGTTTCGTGAATTTTTTTTTTTTGCATGAAATTTGTGTTACAGATTAGATCGACCAATAAAATGGTTTGATGTAGTGTTACCATATCCAATTTAACATGACCGTCATTTGGGGTTACGTCTTAAAAATTGGGGTTAGAGTTAAGATCCGCGCATATGTAATTACAATTTACAATATATTCAAAAATTTGATTGTACAATCATAGTTGTAAATATAATTTATTATATTGGAAAAGGTATTACTCCTCTAATTTGAAGCAAAAAAGGAACCTCCATCAAAAGGTGAAACATCAGTAAATTTTTTGGAGTACGGATCTTTAGGGATTCCAAAAATTTTGTAATTAGTGAGGATCCCTAAGGAATCTTTCCCACCAGTGAGGATTTCCTATCAAAAGAATTCTATAGAATCCTTAAGGATCCTAAATTTACCATTAAGGAATCCTTAAGGATATTTTTTTTTAATATTTATTTATTAATTTTATTTATTTATTTTATTTTTTATTTATTATTTAAAATTATTTTATTTGTATATTTATTTGTATATAATTTATAATTAATTATATTATTACATAGTATTCTTTTTAATTAATAATATTTTTACAATTAGCACGAAAAATTATTTCTTTGGCTTAAAATTTTGATTAGAATAAATACAACCATAAATTCACATTTTTGTTAATTTATTGCTCATTTCTATAAAAATTTAAAAATGACATTCCTTTAAATACGTACTATTGGTACCAAGTGAATAAATAAGTCTGTTTTGTTTAGTTACGAGTTTCTTCTAACTTCTAAAAAAAAATAATAAGAATAGTTAGTAAATTTATAAAAAAAAACAAAAGAAGAATATTAAAATTTATACACGCACTTAAGGTTGCTTGCCGAAACCTAGGGGTTTAGACAAGATGGCATTTCACCGAAAAGCAAAATTCTGCCAAAACTATATTAAAGTTATATTAAAAAACTGGTGAAATTTTGGAGAAAGGCGAAACTGCTGAAACTTATTATAAATGCTGAAACTGCCAAAACTCTGCCGAAACTATAATAAATCTATAGTAAAATTTTAATGAAACTAATTGTAGAATTTTGAAGAGGTTTAGACAAGCAACCTTACACGCACTTACAAATCTTTTTCCATCCTAGAAAATCCACCCAAAGCCTACAAAATAATAAAAGAACAGTTAGTAAACTATTCCTATTAAATGTAAAAAAATAACAAAAGACTAAGATTCAATCGTGACTTATACTTATGATTCTTAGCTCGTTTTCTATTGAAGTCCATCAGAAATCTATAGAAAAAGAAATAAAATAAGATTGAATAATGGTTAGTAAATCATTTTATTAGAAAAAGGCTAAGTTCATAATACTTACAATTTTCAATTGAAATCTACCTGAAATCTATAAAAAAAAATAAAATAAGTGGTAGAGTTATTACTTTATTAAAATAAACAATAAAAAAAAAACTAAGTTCACAATACCTACGAATCTTAATTTTTTCTGTCAAAACCTATAAAAAAAGAATGATTAGTATTTAGTAAATAATTCTATTTTATTAAAAAGTAAAAAAAACTAAGTTCGTAATACTTACGAATCTTAGTTTTTTTTCTGTTAGAAGTCATACAAAATCTATAAAAAAAATAATAAATAAAAACGGTACACTTTATTAAAAAAAGCAAAAAAAAAACTAAAATTTGATTCATACTTACAATTCATGAATCTTCTCTTTTTTCAATCAAAATCCATCTGAAACCTATAAAAAAATAAATAAATAAAAACGGTTAGTAAAAAAAAATAAAACAAAAAAAAAATTAAGTTTTGTAATAATTACGAACCTTTGGTTTTTTTCAATTCTCAAAAGACCATCCAAAGCCTGTAAAAAAATAAAAACAATTGGTAAATCATTCCATTCTATTAAAAAAAACTAAGATTCATAACATATTTAATTGCCGATCTGCATGTGATCGATAGAATTTACATAGTAAAATGCGGCGTTATGTTAATTAATAAAAAAAATGCCGTTTGAAATCTCTGTTTCCCCAAAAAATAACAACGTCAAATACATACATAACTCCCAAAAAACTTGTTGCAACTGGTGCTATTATATCAGAACTTCATTATTATGTCCATATTTATATGACTTGTTTATTATTTTTTAAGAAAAAAATTCAAGATAACTATTCCTATTTTGAAATTATGCTAAAACTTAATAAAAGTCCTTTTATTATTCATATATTTCATTATATTCATATTTTTTACAAACTGGACATATTTGTGAAAGAAAAAGAAATATAAAAGTGCGTAGTATTATTAAAAATGTAATAGTTAACAGAAATAATAATCAAAAAAAGTTTTATAAGCGTCAAAGAAAAGTTAAAGAGTTTATACCATAGAAGTAAAATAGTAGTAAATACTATGAAATCTCTATTTCCTACATATAAAACTTTATAAACTGCAAAGAAAAAAAACTTTTTATAAAAAAATTTTTTTTTTCTAAGATCTTAAACGTATATTGCAGGTGTTAAATTACGCAATTGTATAACAATATGGTTGAATTTTATTTGATATAAAAACATGATCGACATGGCTTATATATAAATGTTGCGCCGCATTTTATTATATAAATTCTATCGATCACATGCAGATCAGCAATTAAATCTTAGTTATTTTCCTTTTTCTAGAAATATTTGACCCGAAATTTAAAAAAAATAAGATTTTTTTTAAAAAAATTTGCTTTTCAAATTTTTGAAACCTTATCTACTGATGCATAATAAAATATCGAAGTCTAAAGACTCAAAGTCTAAAAAATTTCGTGTCTAAAGAGCTGAAGTACTCCAAATTTCCAAATTTTTGAAAGACACAAATCTCATTTTAAATTTACCATTTAAAAGTTTAGACCTTTAGGAGCCTGTCTCTAAGAAAAAAAAATGAAAAGGAACATTAGGATGTTTTTATAATATGAAACATGTACCTCTTTAACTTACCATTTCAGAATTTCATGCTGAAATCTAAGTACAGGCCGTCTCTAAAGAAAAACAGGTTTAAAGAAAGTTTCTTTTTAAGTAATTCAGAAAATATTTTTTAAAAAAAATTATTTAAAATAAAAATAAATGATTTTTTTTTAAAATTAAACAAAAAAGTAATTTTTTTTTTAAAAAAAAGCTTTAAAAAAAAGATTATCGATAGATCAATAAGTCATATGATCTATGCTGTCATGTGATATTCTATAATATCGTCTTAATAAAAAATGAACAGTTCGTTAGTAATATTTGTTAATATAAAAATATATATATATATATATTCTTTTACTTACCAGTATTCCATAATACTACATCTAAAAGACTTAAAAATTGTTAAAAAAAAGAAAAAGTTAATGATAGTTATTAAAATAAAAAAATTACACATATATTTTTTTTTAATTACCAAATTTTCATGTCTAATGTCTCAAAAATACCTAAAATAAGAAAATAATAAACAATTAGAATTCATTAAAGAAAAAATTTTTTTTTTTGGTACCTGTCAAATCCTACTGACATCTAGAGAGATTTTAAAAAACTATCTAAAAAAAAGAAATAAATGAACATTTAGTAATATTCATTAAAATAAAAAAAAAACAATAAAAATCTTTTTCTTAATGAATATTCATGTTGAAAAAATCTACTAAGAAAATAAAAAACAAAATCAATTAATAATTGTTAAAATAAAAAGAAAAATTAAAAAGTTTTTTACTTACTTAATTTCGCGTTGGAAGACTCAAACAAATACCTAAAAAAAAGAAGACAAACAATTAGTAATATTCGCTAAATAGTAATTTTTTTCAACTTTTTACCACGTTTCCATATCTATAGAATCGAAAATAAATTTTTAAAAAAAAGAAAAAAAAAAATTAGTAATGTAGGACCCAGAAATATATACAGTCGCCACTGGTTATACCGAACCTATATGTACCGAAAACTCGTTATACCGAACTTAGATTCACAGAACCAATTTTTTATAATTAATTACACTGGATATAACGAATTTTATAATAAAATTTTATATACCGCATCCGAACTCACCTTAACCAGCCCTGATATATTAGCCATATATTCGTTATACCGAACTATCACGTGATTCGATTATATTAATATAGTTGATGCGCCAATCTTTTTTTTCAATTGTGATTATCGCGATTATCTATTTGTTTTAAATGTCCACAAGAAAAAGAACTATACTTTCTGCAGCACAAAAACGTGAAATCTGTGAAACAAAGGAAAGGGAACCAAACCTTTCTAACACCAGTATTGCACAAAGGTATAATATTGGAAAGTCAACAGTCACGGATATTTTAAATGAAAAGGAACGTTGGCTCGCAATTTCAGGAGACAAAGGAAGTGTTAAAAAATTTCGTGGTCCAAAGTGGCCTCAACTTGAAAAAGCACTTGGTCTTTGGGTTGACAATGCTCTTAATATGAAACAGGATATTGATGGTAATATTTTAAAGACTAAAGCAGTATTTTTTGCGGAGAGGTTTTCCATTGAGGATTTTCATCAGTCAGAGGGTTGGTTAGGTGGTTTTAAAAAGCGATATGGATTACGTCAATTTAAAAAGCAAGGCGAGGCTTCAAGTGCTCCTTCTGTTGAATCAATAGAAAATGACCGTCTTGCATTACAACAATTTCTTAGATCTTATAATCCTGAAGATATTTGGAATGGAGATGAAACTGGTCTTTTTTGGAAGATGGAACCTTCCAGAGTTTTAGCACGTGGTCCTATTTCTGGTCATAAAAAGCAAAAAATCCAGAGTTACTATATTTTGTGCGACAAATGCAACAGGAACTGAAAAAATGGCTCTTACTTTTATTCATAAACATAAAACTCCTCGTGCAATGAAAAACCTTAATTATAAAAATCTTCCTGTTTATTATTATTGGAACAAGAAGGCTTGGATGCAAGTTAGTATCTTTAATGACA